TTTTATATATTTTAAATGTAATTCATAGTATTATACTTTTTAAACGAGTCACTTTCCGAGCTAATGGTTGAATTGATCTTGGCTCAAGTTTGACTTGTTAACTCATCGAGTTCAAGTCATGAGTTATTTATTGAGTTGAGCTCAAGTCGGCTTAACTCACACCCTTAATTACCTTCATTGCCAAAAAGTAATCTTGCTTCTTTTTAAATTTATTCCTAATTAAGCTTCTTCCCCTAATAACGCCGCGAATCGTGCTTCTTCCTAAAATTTTGCCTATCTTTAAACAAATAATATAAATTTTGTAACAGTTTTTTTTTTTTTTAATATTTTATGAACACTGCTCCCCATTTCTATGACAATTTAGTGCTTGGCAATTTCGAAAAAATAAATAAATAGCAGATAAAATTAAATAAAACATTATAAAGTCAAACACTGAAAGTAAATCTTATCTTATTTAATTATCAATTTATTTTTAAATAATTGAATCTCGGTAAAGCCCTCTGCCGACAATGACGTAACACTTTATCCGATAATTTTCAAAATATTTTTATTATTAAGCTTTCAATTTTAAAATACAAATTTTTTTTTATCTTCATCATTAATTTAAATAAAGAAAATAATATTTGATTTCTTAATTATTTGATTTTTGATCTTATAATTAAACAAACTTTTCTAATGAATTATTCATACAATGCTAGGGCTGCAAGCGAATCAAACGTTCGACGAGCTACTCGTTGTTCGGTTCGTTTAAAGCTCGTTTGTGATCGTTTAATTAAATAAACAAACAAACTTGAATAATAGTTTAAATATCGATTCTTAAATAAACAAACTTGACCACTAATATGTTCAGCTCATTTATATTCGCGAACAACATCATTTGAAGTTTGTGAACAAGCTCGACATTAAGCTCGATAAGAAGCTCGATTCATGTGTTAGGAAAATTATGTAAAGATAGATTTGCTTATAAATCATTGCCTTTGTTACATAGACAATTGCTTTTATTATAAATGTGTTTGTTCATAGATATGTTCAAGAACGTGTTTGTTTGATTGTTAAAAAAAATCGTTAAATATGTTCGATGTAATCGTTTCTTAGGAAGCTCGATAAAGCTCGTTTGTTAAGTTAATGATCATCTAAAATTAGAGCTCATTTATAGCTTGTTCATGTTTATTTGTTTAAAGTTTAATAAACAGTAAACAAACGAACATGAACTGAACATGAACCGAACATGAACATTCATTAATTTAAATGAACCAAACATGAACACAAACAATAAAGCTCGAACAAACATGAACCAAACTTGAACAACCTGACATTAAATGAACACAAACATGAACACTCATATACTCGACTTGGCTCGGTTCGTTTGCAGCCCTATATAATGCATTATTATAGTTCATATTCTTATAGAAAACGAAAAAACTATTCAAATTAAATAAAAATTTGTATAGGATAAGTTCAATGTAATTGAAATTTGAGTTGTTAAATCTAACAATTTAGGTTCATATATGTTTATGGGTATGCTCATTGGTGCATTCGTTGAGGCCCCTAATCACAGAACTATTCCATAGAGATATTAGCATGTACATGTTATCTTATTGTGTTCCGCTTGTATTTACTATTTTCTCTCAAACCAGTCTATATAAGGACACCTGTTATCACAGCTTAATAATACGATATACATACTTTTCCTTATCTGTGTCGTGTATCCTCTGTCTTTCTCTTTCCACTCACATGGTATCAAGAGCCACATGATGGGAGATCAAGATATAACCTCCTCTCTCCCTCCCTCCTCCACCGCCCTCGCCGGAAACTGCCCTCAAGAACCAGTTATTCCGGCATCCCTGAAATTTCTTGTCACTAACATTAAGAATCTGCTTCCTCATCCTCTCACTACCGAAAATTACCCCATATGGAGAACTCAAATTCTCCAACAATTCACCGCTACTGGTTACCTGAGCCATCTCACCGGAGCCAACCTATCTCCTTCGGCCGATCAACCTGCCACGCACGCCGCCTGGAAATTAGTCGACAGCACGCTGATTTCGGCCTTGTTCTCCACCATCTCCCCCTCCATCTCGCCATACGTCATCACCGCCTCCTCGGCCTTCGAAGTTTGGTCGATTCTTGAACGCAGGCTTCAATCGACCTGTCGCTCTCGAGTTCTACAACTCAAGAATGAACTTCACAATCTACAAATGAAAAATTCATCCATGCAGCAATACCTCACGCAAGTCAAGACTCTCGTCGACAGCATTGCCGCCTCCGGATCCAAAGTCGATCCCGAAGACATCATGCTCTACACCCTAAACGGCCTACCCGCCGCTTACAACCCCTTCAAAACCTACATCCGGAACTCCCAAACACCATCCGATCTAGATTCTTTATATTCGCTTCTTTGCAGCGAAGAAATTTATATCAATCAAGAACTTCAACACAATACTTCCAATGATCCGTTAGCTCTCTACGCAACCTCGCATAACCAGCAACGCGGTCGGACAAACTGCCGACCGCCCAAGAACTTCAAGAACAACCAGTACCCACCGTCCTCACCCAATCCTCCTACAACATCCGCCAACAACTCGAGCTCGCAACGTCTCAACTGCCAAATCTGCGGGAAGAACGGTCACATCGCTCTTAACTGCTGGCACCGCTGCAACTTCAAATTCGCTCCTACAACAACTATCACACCACGTGCAATGCTTACCAACACTGCTTCCTACCCAACCCAAGACTGGGTTCTCGACACCGGCGCCTCCGAACATCTCACACCTGACAACAACAATATTCAGCACCCGACCGCCTACCATGGCCCGTCATCCGTCTCGGTAGCAAACGGCTCCTCTGCCTCCATACAAAACACCGGCCAAGGTCTCCTTCCACTTCCTGATACTCCTCGTAAGCTACATCTACGTAATATCTTGCATGTTCCTTCACTAACCCATAACCTGATTTCGGTTTCTAAACTAACCCGTGACAATTCTATATCTATTACATTTGACTCTAACGGCTTTGAAATTAAGGATTCCCAGGATCTTCGACCGCTTCTACGTGGCCGACTCCATAACGGTCTCTACTATATTCACCCCGCTCCAGACGTTCCGCCACAGGCTATGCACGCAACCGTGGCTCCCTCCTATCTGTGGCACGCGCGTCTTGGTCATCCACACCGGCAGCTCCTCAACAACATGGCTAAAGCACTGCCAGCACCTACGCCTTCTACCTCACCTTTTCTTTGTACTTCTTGTAATGTGGCCAAGAGCCACAAGCTCTCTTTCATCCCAAGAACATCGGCCACATCCTCACCGTTCGAATTTATTCATTCGGACGTGTGGGGACCGTCGCCGACACCGTCTACTATGGGTTTTCGCTACTATGTTCTTTTTACTGACGACTATACTAGATTTACTTGGATTTATCTTTTGCGCACTAAAAATGAAACATTATCTAAATTTCAAATTCTGTGCAATATGATTCAAACGCAATTTTCTACAACCCCCAAAGCCCTCCAATCTGACGGCGGAGGCGAGTATGCCGGCACTGACTTCAACAATTTTCTTCAAAAACGTGGCATACGGCATCGCATCAGTTTCCCTCACACTCCTGAACAGAACGGACTCGCCGAAAGAAAGCATCGCCACATTCTTGACGTCACCAGAGCTCTCCTACACGATTCAAACGTCCCTCACCAATTCTGGCCTGAAACAATCGCCACCGCCACTTACCTTATCAACCGGCTACCCTCCACAACGACCGCATCACATTCTCCTTTTCAACTACTTTATCAAAAGCCACCGGCCTACGAACACCTTCGCATTTTCGGTAGCCTCTGCTACCCTTGGCTCCAGCCCTACAACCATAACAAACTTCATCCTCGATCCAATGACTGCGTCTTCCTCGGCTACTCGTCTCAACACAAAGGATATCGGTGCTACAACTTATCCACAAACCAAATTCACATCTCCAGGCACGTTGTGTTTCACGAGCACATATTCCCTTTTCAATCTCACCATCATCCTCACAATTCGCCTACACCTCTCGTCATCCAAAGACCCCAACCCCCCTCTCTTCTCGTACCCACGTCAACCATCACAACTCAACCTCATATCATCAACACAACCTCTGACCAAATTCAGCAAACCAACAATCCTATAAATCACACTACCAACCTACCTGCTCCAGCAAGGCCATCCACCACTACTCTAAGCTATAACAGACCACCCAATCTATCTGACCGTCCCAGTCACCCAATGCAAACAAGATCCAAGTCTGGTATTTCAAAACCCAACCCCATCTACTCGCTCCAAAGCAACACCGCAACTATCCCCACCCCAACCTCCTACAGACAAGCCATGAAAATCCCGCACTGGCATTCGGCTATGAAAGACGAGCTCACCGCACTTCAACAGCAGCGGACTTGGACGCTCGTTCCTAAACCACCGAACAAGAACATACTCGGCTGTAAGTGGACCTTCAAAACCAAAACTCTTCCAAACGAACAGATCGAACGTTACAAAGCAAGACTCGTTGCCTTAGGCTACGACCAACGGCAGGGTGAAAATTACAATGAAACCTTCAGCCCTGTAGCAAAAATGCCCACCATCCGTCTACTCCTGGCCATCGCTCTCAACCGAAAATGGCCTGTACAACAATTAGACGTATCCAACGCCTTCCTTCACTGCGACTTACCCGACAACATCTACATGCGCCAACCACCTGGATTCGCCGACCCCACATCCCCGGATCTTGTCTGCAAACTCCACAAGTCCTTATACGGTCTCAAGCAGGCCCCTCGACAGTGGTTCCAAAAGCTTACCTCCTTCCTCCAATCAAGGGGATTCTGGTTTAGTCGCTCCGACCCTTCTCTACTCATTTTCACTAATAATCACATTCATATCTATTTTCTAATTTACATCGATGACATTCTTGTCACAGGAAACGAGCAATCAGCCGTCTAGAACCTCCTCAACGATCTAAATTGCAACTTCGCTCTCAAACAAATGGGACCGATCTCACTTTTCCTAGGCATCCAAGTACATCATACACGAACAGGCTACTTCCTATCTCAGGCTCATTTTGCACAAAAGCTTCTACACGACGCTGGTTTCGCCGATTGCAAAGAAGTGCCGACACCGCTCTCGCCCACTTCAACTCAAACAACAGACGGAACTCATCCATTCCATGATCCCACACTCTATCGCCGCATTGCAGGATCGCTTCAATATCTATTTATCACACGTCCAGACATTGCCTTCGCCACAAATCGAATATGCCAGCACATGAAGAATCCCACCGACCAAGACTATCTATCTCTTACCTGGCTTCTCCGATACATCAAGGGGACCGTCTCCTATGGTCTTCCACTCACCACCGGCGACCTACAACTTCGTACCTACACCGACGCCGATTGGTCCTCCAACCAATCGGACCGCAAGTCAATCTCTGGGTTCTGCACCTTCCTCGGACCAAATCTCATCTCCTGGTCCGTCAAGAAACAGATCACCGTCGCCACATCGTCGACCGAAGCTGAATATCGGTCACTCTCCGCAGCCACTTCGGATGTAATCTGGCTCCGACGTCTAGTATCCGAACTTCATCTACCGCAGACGCAACCGACACCAATATACTGCGACAACCAGTCGGCCATTGCCATTACCAAGAACCCGGTATTTCACGCGCGAACAAAGCACATTGAAATCGATTATCATTTCATCCGGGAACATCTCAGCAATGCCAACATACAAATACATCATATTTCCTCAAAAGATCAAGTGGCGGACATCCTGACCAAACCCTTTGCCTCGGCTCGGTTCAACGATCTTCGCTCCAAATTAACAATTCACAGTATGAATTATTAATTTGCGGGAGGATATTAGCATGTACATGTTATCTTATTGTGTTCCGCTTGTATTTACTATTTTCTCTCAAACCAGTCTATATAAGGACAACTGTTATCACAACTTAATAATACAATATACATACTTTTCCTTATCTCTGTCGTGTATCCTCTGTCTTTCTCTTTCCACTCACAAGAGAACCATCCATCTTATTCATACATTCCCCTCATGAATATCAAACATAATCGATCCTACCAATTTGTCTCTTTAAGATTTTGTTTAGGAATTTTTTTTCTTACTTTCTATATAAAAATATTGTAAAAGTAATGTATAAATAATGATAAAAACTAGCCTGAAAGAAGTCTTAGACTTCATTTGAGATGATTTTCTTACTATTTTATAAAGTAACTTTTTATTTCAAAAATCATTGTGATCTAAAATTTTTTGTACTAAAAAATTTCTTCATAAAGTAATAAAAAACTGCCTCAAACAATACCTTAGCCAATGTACTCAATCTCTTAATCGGCTATAGCCAATACATTTGATTCTATTCACTCACATCCTGTCAGCATGCTCGATCCTCTCAATTCTCTTAGGGGTTGTTTGGTATTAGATTCACAGCCGGATTTAAGTGGGATTTACACTAAATCCTGCTAAACGATTTTTGTTCGCACATTAAATCCCGGCAATCAGTAAATTCCGGATTTATTTACGGCATAAATCCAGGATTTAATGGGATTTACAGGATTTAATGGGATTGCCACGTCACATGCAACATATAAGAAGTCAATTGGAAAATTGAAGTTTGCTCTCATTTAATAGTTCATTTGTCTTTTGATCAATATTAATTTGTCATAAATTTTCAATAATAATGTATGAACTCAAATTCATTTTATCATATTTTTATACAATGACTTTGAATTTATAATTATCTCCTTCAAATTTAAATCCCTAACCATCATAAATCCCAAAATATATTACCAAACAACTTATCATAATTTAACAAAATCAATCATTTGGCATAACAAATAATTTTTAGAATTAAAAACATATTTAAAGGATTTACTAAATGCTATGCCAAACAGCTCCCTTAGCAAGGGCAAATTATTGCATCCGGTCACCTGACACAAAGATTCGTTCGGATGTCTCTCTGTCTACAATAAAAGGATATGCTATCGTACCTGCGCTTTTACCGTAGATAAAGAGAAATCCGAGCAGGTGACCGGATGCAATAATTTGCCCTTAGCAAGAATACTGGCTCATCCCAATGGACTCTCTCGACCACTTTAATGGATCCTCTTAAGCCACTTCTCTCGTCATCTCAGTTAACAAACTTCCGATTTCTCGGTCAACCATCTCAGCCCATGCAACCGTCGCACTTATCCAAATTACAGATAATATTATCCGAAATGTCTATCTCAATACGTTTTCTGAACTGATCCTTTGCTGACGACATATTCCAAATAACCACGTTTCAGTTACAACAACATCTACTCCTAAAATAACAGTTTCATCCTTTTTTCAAAAAATATTTGTTTTCGATCTCCACTGTTTGCAGATTACTCCATACATTTCTGCAGAGAGATCTATCTATTTTTCAGATAGTTGCTTCATCAACAAAATCTATCTTTATCAAATTCAAAAAAGGTACATATTAGCTATACAATAAGCCTTCCATGATCCTCCCCCGCAAAGCCAAGCACTTTTTATAAAACTGATCCAATATTTGGATCAGCAAAAAGGGAAAGGGAGAAAAAAACTACTAATCAGACAAACTATTAGCCCATTTTTTATGTACAAAAGTTCAAATTGTTTAGGTAGATGTTCTCCACAATTCATAAAGCAAAAGATCAGACTGAGCAGACAAATTCTCTTAGAATTCCATCAAGCAAACAAAAGAGCTTGACTTGAGAGGCTTCCAGAGGATCTCTGTGGAGGAATGGGAGGCCTGTTGTTGCTTAAGAAACTATGCCTTTTTGGCCCCAATGAGGAAAAGGAACCTCTGAATGGCTTTTTTATTAGGGACCCTCTTGCAAATGAAAGGGCTTTGTGGCAATCTAATCCTCCTCCATAGCTCTTTGAAGATTTCAGCTTCTTTTTGTATGGCCTGTCAGGCTTGGCCAGATCTTCCAAGTTCCTCACATTGCACAGAGATGAGAATGACTGCGATTTCCCTTGGAAATGCTTTGATAGCCCTCGCCTGCAAGTAAAATTCATAAAATTTCTTCAGGGACTGTTTGGCTACAAATAGGATTTAGCTTTAGTAAATTCTGTAAGCTCAGATTTAGTATATTAAAATCTAAAAACTGTTTGGCTTGCTAAACTTTTTTTGGCAAACTATTTAACTATTTGCATCAAAATGTAAGATTTATGAGAGGAAAAATCATTAAATCTGTTCAACCATGTAAATGATTCAGAAATTCTGCTTGACAGATATAAGGCTAAAATCTTGCTTAAACCCTGCCTGAAATAGGCCACTGGACACCAAACAGCTCCTGAAAGAAGAACTAATCATATAATGGAAGATTAGTCTGCTACATTTGAAAGCCAATATTCAAACTATTGATCCATTTATAAGATATAAAGGACAAAAACCAACTTTAATCATTCGAATAACTGATGATACAATAAATAAAGCACAAATTGTATGAAATTTCAGAGATAAAACAGTGGAGCTCACTTCAAGGGAAGCTGGGCAATGAGATTGGACATCTCAAAGAGAGATCCATCTTCCTCCTCCAAATTATCATTAGAAGGAGAGGAGTTGGCGTCCTCCATTAAGTCCGACGACGATGAATTCATCGACAGCACCCCCACCTCGTCGTCCTCATCGAAAGAAGAGAAGGAACCGAGATCTTCTTCCTGCTCATCCATGATCCCATGGCTGATTTGTGGGATGAAAGAATCCTCCATTCTCCACAATAGAACCAGCTTCAAACTCCCTTGTTATACTTCCCAACCCCAACCTCCCAATAAACATCCACTCTCTCTCTCTCCCAGAGAAGAAGATGAGAAATTTAATAGAAAAAACACTAACTTTACAACTTCAAATGGTTCTGCAAATCCTTTATATGCAGAAGGTTGGACGGAGAAGACTTAAAAGAGCAATAGTAGAAAAGGATAAGGAAGGCAACACTTGCTTCCATACGATGAGAGAGATTCGGCTTTATCCACTTAGGCCTCTCCCTGTTACCGTTTTCGTATAAGGAAAGAGGGAGGAAGAGTGGATAAGACCTCCACATCGTCAACGTACTATTTATCATTTTTATGCCGAAAGTTTGTAGAAATTATATTTCAAACCTTCTATTACTTTTTTTTTTTCACCTTATTCAAGGCATTTGATGGTTATCTGTTGGCTGAGGTACAAAAATTAATTAGGATTATTTCTTTTGGAGGTCCCACATGGTATTTCTGTAAATATTTTTAGGAGCTTTTTCCTTGTGGACTAAAATTAATTTGGTCCCATGTGTAATGACCATTCCTGGTTCGTCTTACCTATAATGTCAGAAAACCTTTTTCATGTTGTAATACCTGATTTAGGTAAGGGTGGTTTTGTAATTTTACTACATTTTTAAATTTAAGAAAAATTTATTAATTTGAATTATGTTTAGTAAAAAATAGTTTATTTATCTAGTTAGTTTTTTATTTATTTTTAATATGTTATGTAGGTTTGTAAAATGGATATAACAGATTTGATTCTGAATCGATAAAAAAGTGATGAAGACCCAAATTCAATCAAATGTGACCCATTAGAGGTTGTGTGATTGGCTAAAAAAAAAGAAATGCAATATAAAAAAATAATTTGGAATTATTTTGACTAGTGTAATATAAATAAAGGTAAATGATTTTTTTTAATTTAATTTGAAATAAAATGAATGTAATCTAAAGTTTAAAGATGTGGAGACTAGTGGGTGGTGATGGTGGTGGGCGGGGCCTGGTGGTGGTGATCGGTGGATGACGAGTATGGCGGAGAGAGAGGGGGGTGGGTAATGACCAGAGGGGCAGTGGTGGTGGCCAATGGTGGGTGGCGGTAGTGGGTGGACAGCGGTGATGGTGGCTTGCGACAATGGGTGCAACTGCGTCTAGCCGTGAGGGTGGACAGCGGCGGGTGGCGATGGCCGGTGGTTGCCAAATGAGGGTAGAGGTTGTCGACCACGGTTGGCAGGTAGCTATCAAGCAAGGTTGTTTGTGGTGTAAACCACTCACTCAAAACTATTCTAATTTGATTTACCTCAAAAATAAAGTAAAATGTTTTACCCTACATCTACTTTATTTTGTATTTCTTTTTCATCCAACCAAACATCAAAATTATCAAAATCATTGTATTTGAAATACTTTACATCCTAAAGTATTCCAATCAAATAGCCCCTTAATAAATTGAATCTGAACCACTTAATAAATGGGTCAAAAAGTTAGACCCTATAAACTATTTAATAGAAAAGATATAGTTTTATTAACCTGTTAGCCATACATTTTAGAACAACTAATAAAAAAGAGAAGATTATGTCACAAATAAAAATAATTTAAGAAAAAAAAAAGTAAACAAGTCATTTTTGGATCAAATAAATGGGCCAAAATGCAAGACTCAAAACAGACTCACCTATTAAATGGGTCAATCCGTATCGGAATTTTTTGATTTGGTTCATTTATTGGCACCCATAATAATGTTGCATGTCTCAGACTACTATGAAATAAGTTTGCAGAGATAAGTGATCACGACAGCCTTTCAGTGATTTTGAAATTGCTGCAAGTATTTTTATGACAATTAAAATGTCCATAAAATTAAAATTATTTTTCTTAATGAGGATGTCTAATTCGAAAAGATTGCTATAAATATAGTATGATAAAAAAGTATTATAAACAAATAAAAATAATGCCTATAAGGCTCAAAAAGATTGAATCAAAGCAAATTGTGTTGATTGAACTCCATGGAGGTTAATGAAATGGTCAATTAAGCTTAGCATTGACGACATATATAGTACAGAAATAAAAACTCGGATTTTTATGAATTTTTTTCGGTATCAGTAGGACTTTTCTTCTATTGAAGTTATTATATTGTCTATAATAAGTTCGATACCTAAATTTGATATCTATAATTTATATTTTTCACTCCTTATTGAAAGTATTTTTATTTAGTATATTTTGTTTATTATTATCGCGCTTGAAAGACTGTATTTGGGTGGTAGTCGGCAGACGACGAAGGTCAGAAAGATTGTATTTGGGTGGCGGTGGCTGGAAGGACTGTAATATGTGGGCGACGGAGGTCAAAAGCACCGTAGTCAACAGGTGACAGAGGTCGTAAAGATTGTCATCTGGCGACGGAGGTTGGAACCATTGACGGATGAAAGTCTAAGAATAATTGGAAGCCTGGTGGAAGTATGGCATCAGTCGGCAGTCAAGTGGAAGTCCAGTGTTAGTGGCGGCCGAGTGTTAGTCCAGCTTCAGTCGGCGGAAGTCCAATGTCAGTCGGCAGAAGGATGGAAGTTTGGCGTTAGTCGACAGCCGGGTTGAAGTCCGGCGTTTGTAGACTGCCAAGCAAAAGTCTAGCGATTGGCGGAAGTCCGACGTCTGGTAGAAATCTAGAGACAGAAGGACGTCCAGCGTTGGGTAAAAGTTCGGGGACGGGCAGAAGTCTAGTGACAGGAGGAAGTCTAGCGCCGAGTAAAAATTCGACGATGGCTAGAAGTCCGACATCGGGTAGGAGTCTGACGAAAGTCTGACGACGGGCAGAAGTTTAGCGTCGAGTAGAAGTCTGGCAATGGCAGAAGTTCGGCGACGGGCAAAAGTCTAGCGACGGGCAAAAGTTTGGCGACTGGTAGAAGTATATCATCGGGTAGAAATCCGATGACAAACTGATGTTCGGCGTCGGGTAGGAGTCCAACGAAAGTCTGGTGATAAACGAAAGTTTGGTAACAAACAAAAGTCTGGCGACGGATGGAAGTCCAGAGTTAGGTAGAAATTTGACGATGGGCGGAAGTGCGGCGTTGGCCGGTGGCCGAGAGGTTGTCGAGGAGTTTGGAAGCAAGAGAAATCTTTGATTTCTCTTTCTCTCCTCTCTTCTTTCCCTTATTGCTTCGAGCCCCTTTTCATGAGGAATGAGGGGGTATGACCACTAAATAGGAGGGAGATCAAGGGCAAGTTGGGAGTAGTTTGAATGAACGGCCAATGTTGATCCCCTTGATCGTGGAATGTTTATTTTGTATTTGAACATCTTAATGATATGAGAATTTGACAATCTTAAGCTCGTTGGATTTGTCTCATCGAACTGCTCAATTCGAATATGAGCATGTCACGTTTGAAAATTGTTTGTTAATCCAAATTATGGTTTGAACCTTCCAAATGAACTTCGGGTCATTGATTTAGACTCATTTGGGCTCAGATTGAGTTGAATTTGGTATCGTTGGGTTTGTATTTCCAAGATGTTCAGTTTGATTGTAAGTTTCCAAAAATCGGAGTTCAGATGGTCCCTGATTTAAAATTTAAAATTTTCAACTTGATTTTGCTTTGAGATTCATGCCTGATCACAAAGATAAATTTTTTGATGATATATCAATTATCATTATTCTCATATATATATATATATATATAGTCTATTCTAACTGGGGGTGATGGATTTCATTTGTCATATCACTATCTACTACTTAACTAAATAAATGGAGAAATACAACTTACAAATAAAACATTTAGAGTCATCAAATTTCTATGATCTTCATTTGATTTAAAATTTATTTGGAACAACCTTTTTATTAGTTTATTTTTCATAACAGTCTTACTTTCTTAATTTTTGTGGTGATAAACATCTTATGATCATATCTAATAGAAGTATAGAACAATGTAATTTATAATAAGATTATTGTTCAACTCTTTCAAAAATAACTTTTTTAAAATATTTTAACAAATTTTTAAAAAATTACTTTTAATTATAATTTTTTAATATTTTTTATAAAAAACTATAGCAATCTCAAATGAGCTTCTTGTTCCTCCTCCACTCTTAAATGACACTACAATTCATTCGATCAAATGATTCTTATAAGAATGAGTAAGGTGATGAAACAAGTAATTCTATTCTGAACAATCTAGAGAAAAAAGCTCTCTGATAAGAGGGTATGGACACCAGATAGAGAGAACCATTCGATTACACTGCACTTTTGTTATAAACAGGGAGAATATGAAATGATTCTCCTGTCTAGTGTCCGCACAGAATAATTCTTTCCTTTGCAGATGAGCTGAACTATATTTTGTCAATAATTAGAGAAATTTTTTTCTCTCTATTTTTTGCTGTAGTGACCCTTATGGAGCTAAATAACTCTTCTGCGTGTACTTCAGCCACTCTTTCTACACATAAAATATGAATAATGTCTGGCTAGCAAACAATAAACAGACTTGTAAGTTGAGATGATCTTTTAGATGAACTATGATAACAAACTGCTCAAAGTATCTGCTAACAAAATGCTCTAACAGCTAAATTTTAAATAAAATGTCATGCAGATTCAGCCAAGCAATAGAGACTGTGCACAATAAAAGTGGTGAGAGGACATGTTGCATCCTCGAATATTCACGGCGGTAAAGAAAGATATAATTTAGCATCTTAAATTTATAGGAAAATTCAATATACAAACAGATAAAAGAGATGAGTGCAACTTTCATACGAGACACTAGAGATTTTATATGGAAACCCCTGAAAAGAGGAAAAATCACAAGATTTGATCAAGTTTAAATGAATCTACTAGCATTGATGGTTTAATACGAATGAGGCCCTTTTTCCTTTGGGGAAGGTTTTATGTAGCAAATGCACATTATATAGTGCTTGTTTATATGGTAGTTGTGTTGATTTGAAATTATTTCCAAATTGAAATTAATAAGCTTTTATTTGGAAAGTTTTAATGACTCATTATTGTAATTAATTAGAGAAACAGCTTAAGAGCTATTGTTATTCCCTAGTTCTCAAATTTGGTTAAATCATCCCATCTCAGTGGACGTAATAGGCATCTTTGCAGAACCACGTAAACCGCTGTGTTTTTTTGTGATTGATTGTGCTTAATTCTGATTTGTTTTCCACTATTTGCATGGCAAAGTGTTCTTAAAAGAGTGTGACATGCTTGTTTGGTCAGTAGGAATGTTTTCGGGTGATCGAGGTTGAAAGGATCGTAGTTGGA